AGCAGGGGATGTGATAGCCTGCAGACTTTTCAGGACTATAATATATCTCCTTTGTGAATCTCTTTGTGTAGAACAAGCCCCTAAATATACTTGAGTCAAGAGGTCATTTATTTTTCACCTCCCTCTTCTCAGCAGGAATTGTGAGTCTATGAGATAAAAGTATTTTTTTTTAAAGAAAGGAGGAATTGCTTGATCTACAGGTTATAAGCAGTAGAAGGAATGGAAAATCTGCCTTCATCTTCCTGCTTGATTGCTCTCAGTGGCATTTACTTGTCAGTTTATTAGTGCTACTTCCACAACCTGATCTTAGTGAGCACAATGGGAGGTTGGCCTAAGCTTTCAAAGGGAGTAGCCATCCCAAAGGATAAGATATCCTGGACTTCAGCTTGAAAGAATGACCTCAGTCAGGTGGGCTGCAGCTTTTGATTGAAGGGTTACAATGATGTCATAATTAAGAAAAGGTGAGAAAGATCAAGGAGAGTCACCTCTGGGCTCTAACCTTTTCATGCTTAACATTTGTGCTGGAGTAACTGGCTCAGCTTTTGGCACAGAGACCATGGACAGCTCTCCATATTTTAAATAAATCCCCATCATGCCCCCATCTCTCATTCTAATTTGGTCAGAAAAAAAAATTGAGGTGGTAAACCATGTCTTCCTTTTTAATGTAAATATCTCCTTTGTAAAGATGGAGCTTGGCGGATACCAGGCACTGTCCTACTTCATTCAAGGGGTTGCCAGTGTAAACAAGCTCTATGAATGAACATTTTGCATTCTGTAGAATTGAGGTGTCTGTGTGAGTAAAGATAACCTAATTATATGTTTATCTGGTCTCCCTATTAGTCAGATCCCTGAAGATGTTGTTGGCTAGCTGGCTAGTTCAAAATGTCCTTGTTGAGTGGAATTGATAAACTGTTGATTCTGGTTAAAACATCTGTCAGGGAAGGAAAGGATAAAACAATATAGTGCCTTGGCATAAACCATTGTGCAGGAAGGCAACAAGTGCCCTTGAAATTTACCAGTATCTTAAATTATTGCTTTTATAGGCAAGGGCACGATCTGGATGCCAAAATACAGAATTTAGAATTGTGGGTCAGGTGGAAGAGAAGGAGACATATGAAAAATGGAAAAATGAATGCACTACCCACTTATATGAAATGCTTATCAGTGTCACACTTTCTTTCAGGCTGAACCAATGTGGCTGCATTTTCCAGCCCACTGAAAGTCAGGTTTATGCACTGAAAAGTGGCAAAATGGCATACTGTGTCACTCCCAGCATGAGTAATTTGAGGACTTGCATTTTTAAAGGGGGAAAGAAATTTCCGTAATACTTTAGTTGCCAGGACTGTAAGCTGCTTGGATGAGAAACCTTTGTTCCGCCTATAATTCTTGTCAGGGGATCTGCCACCATCTCCTTTGTTTGAATTTGACTTAGTGAGCAATTTGAACTTCTGCATCACCAAACTCATTATAAATATGCAAGTTCATGGGGGGGGGGGGAACAGCTGAATAAAATGGTTATGTAATTACATACTTCTCATAATTATTTAGTAATTAT